AACCACAGGGTAGCGTCCTTTGCCATCTGGCGCTGGCGTGGGCCAGGCCCCGGGGAAGCACTTCGCGTAAGTCAACATAGCCAACGGCCAAAGTGCCGCGTACGGATGTTAACTTCAAAAGAAGTCAGCCATTATGTCACAGCAGAGAGTGATGCCATCATTTGTGTGTTATTTCCATGCAGCCTTTTCCTGTATGTGCGTCCTTAGGCGTGCATGTATGTTTCACAGGACGCGTGTGTGCGCGCGCGCAAGTGTGTGATGGCCGCTCTTCCAAAACCCCGGTCTTAAAAAAATTAATACTCTTTATTTTTAAGAGTAGTTTAGCTTTATCGGAACACGAGTGTGAAGTATGGAGAGTTCCCATAACCCCTTCCCCTCCCTGCTTCCCCCATTTTGAACAGCTTGCACCCGTGTGGTCTTTTCTCACAAGTGATGCCCGTCGTTACTACCGGGGCTCAGTCTTGGGACCGCACTTTCTATGGGTTTGGATGAATGTCGGTCACACGGCCGCCACGGGGCACCCAGAATAGCCTCGCTGTCCTAAAATCTCCCGTGCTCCCCTGTTCACCCCCACCTCCCTCCCAAACCCTGGCAAACACCGAGCCTTCTGCTGTCTCCATGGCTCTGTCTTTTCCAGAAGGTCACGGAGCTCGGATCACAGGGCAGCCTTCTCAGACTGGCCTCGGTCGCTTGGCCCTAAGTACTTATAGTTCCTCCTGTGGCCTGACAGCAAAGCCCTCACATCAGAGCAAGGTCATCCCAGCGCCTCTTGCAGGGCCCCCCCCATCCTGGTCCAGGTCCGTACCCAGTAGGTCAATGTCAATGAAAGGAAGAGGCTACCTTCCCAGGTGCAGGGTCTCCCAGGACACCCCCATGACTGACTGGCATCACTTTTCCCTGGCAAGTCAAGAGCACAGACCAGAGCCCCCCCGAGGAACAGGGGTGGTTCCTAAGGGCCGGCCGCATGCAAGAGGCCCCGGAAGCCGGCCAGGCATCCTCGCCTTCCCCTGCGTGCCCAAGACTTATGCGCCTCGCCGCGGGCTCCCTTCTCTAGCCCCACTTTAGCTCGTCACCTGGGAACGGGTCACAGGTCGGCTCCGTGCCGCCTCCTCCAGGAAGCCTGCTGCAGTAGAACACGCCAGGGTCCCCACCTCCACCCTCTGTGCCATAGGACCGCATCCCTGCGCTGACAGGCAGGGCTCGCTCTCCCACCCTGCGGATGCGGGCACAGGGCACTCCTGAGCGAGGCCCCATGATGACTCTGTGTGTCCCCCCTTCTTCTGCCCTCGCCATGGGAACCACACACCCACAGAGCCCACTGTTGTGAGGACGGTGACAGACATTCAGAGCGAGCCACACAGCGGAGCCCAGCCTGGACCAGCCAACCTGCCCACATGTGAGCGAGGACAGATCGGTGTTGTTTGAAGCCGAGTTTGGGGGATGGTTTGTTACACAGCATCGTCGTGGCCACAGCTGACGGAGACACCGCTTCCATGCCGTGCAGCCATACTGGGTCTTCCCTCCCTCCAAGTGGCCACAGTCCGGTGCCGTGTGAACCCCAGCGTGCAGGTGAGCTCCGTCTGCCGAGCTGTCACACGGTTCTTGAGGACGCTTGCTTCAGAGTCTGGCCGGCTGGCATCTGAGAACTCCCGGCCTCCCCACTGAATGGCGTGGCCTTGGGCAGGTGGCTTAAACTCTGCGTGCCTTAGCTCCCTCCCAGTGAAGTCGGGGAGCGACAGCTGTCTGCGGTGACTGGCGGTAAATGAGCTGAAGGACATCACAGTCCATAAACGACAAAACAGAGGACGGCCTCGCTGGGGCAAGTGGGGCCAGATTCCTCTTCTCTACACCCCCCTGAGCCCAGCTCTCCCCCTCTCCCCTCACACGCCCCTCCTGGCCCGCTGTCCTCTCACAAGGCAGCGTGCGTGGCCGGCCCCAGGGCAGCACGAGGCTCGAAGCTGCTGTGGGAGCGGGGCAGAGGCTGGAGGCCCGGTGCCAGCCGGCGCCGGGCTGCTGGGGCCACCACGCGCCCTCCCCACGTGCCCTCCCCACGTGCCTCCCCACACGTGCCCCCAGAGACAAGCGAGCATGGCACAAGTGACCGGGTGGAGGAAGGGTCCCCCCTCCCACATTAGCGTCTGTTGGGGGAGCAGCCCCCCAGCCAGTGACGCCCGGCTTCTCCAAGGTGCGTGTCTGTGCGTTTAAGGCAGGGGCCGCTAACCAGGCCTCCGAGCTGATATATTTTCTCTCCTAATAGTGAGGCACAATTTAATTAACTCACTATTGCACCCACCTGAAGATTACCACGTTTATTGACACCACCATCTGGCTCCTATAAAGCCGGTAATGTAGATAATAAATCCGCTTCGTTACCCGGTGTGAGAGGCGTCCTGCCGCCGCCGATCTTCCCCAGCGCCCGCCCGTGAGCGCCGCCCTGGGCGCCCCGAGGTTCGGTGCGGCTTCCAGGAGGGCCCCGCGGCAGGCACCCCACGGCCCACGAACTCTGACCCACCGCGGGTGTCCACCAAGAGGCCTGACACCGTCTGCCCGTGGCCTGCGTCCGCCAGGGCCCCTGCGCCCCCTCGTGCCCGCACTCTCAGCGCCCAGTGAGCAGCCCCGCGTGCCCAGAGCTGTGCCCACGCACTGGCTGCCGCCCAACTGAATGCTGGGACCGGTCAGGTGCCGGACTGTCTCCCAGCCTGCAGAGGAGGAGCCGGAAACGTGTGAGGCCAAGCTCAAGGCTGAGGGCCACCCAATCCGGGGCCAACCAGATTCAGAGGGCGTCGGGCCCGGCCCAGCCTGCCTGGGTCTCCAGAGCAAAGGAGAAATTCCTTTGTTTACCTTCCGGGTTAAGGCTTTTCAAGTTCTGAGTCTGCCCTTAGAAACCGGTGATGTTCTGTCTGCCTTTGAGATTTGTTTGGGCAGACTATCTTCAGGGGGCTGGGGGGAGGGCCTGACCACACAGCCAGGGGCCCCAGACACCTGCTCCCACAGGCCCTGCCAATGGCTGCTGTTGGGCCCCAGGGGGCTCCCCTCTGCCTCCTCCTCCAGGAAGTCCCCCAAGCTGCAGCCCAGAAGGCTTTCAGAACCAGTTTTGAAGGAGGCGCTTCGGGAAGAGCAGCAAGAAACCAGGGGCTCTTTGCTTTCTCAGTTTCAAGAAAGAGGAGGAATTCAGTGCTCTCCCAAGCCTGCAGGTGTGGCTCGGGCAGGTCTCTGAAAGCAACTGCCCTCCACGGCCTGCCCGCAGCCAGACCGCCTTCCTCCCACACAGCAGGGCCCCGGGCAGGTTCCCCGGCAGGTGACAAACGACCCGCAGCTCTCCCAGCTCGTGTGGCTTTAAGCTGGTTTCAGGGATCCCTAGGGTGGGGCGGGGGCAGAGAAAGGGGAATCGGCTCAATCTAGGGGCGCAAAATGCAAGAAGCTCACGTTTATAACATTGTCACCCAGCCCTGAGCCTGCCGCTAGCTCCCCCTCGCGCCCATTAATCACCCTTATCATGCGGGAAGCCCCCCCCACCAGCCACCGCCCCCCAGGGAATTAATCACCCTTATCATACGGGAAGCCCCCCCCCCAAGCCACCGCCCCCCAGGGACAAGTTCAGGTGCTTGAAGGTGGCCAGAGGTCAGAGTCCGCCAGCGCCGAGCCTCCAGGCTGCGGCCCCTCCCTCGGGCCTGACTCTCAGCCCAGGGCTCTGGAGGCACCACAGTCACACCTAAGCGGCCTCTTCAGAAGCGTCACAGTTGTGAAATCAGAGGCCTCCTGGGGCGTAGGGGCCGGAAGCCAGACTAGCGGCTGGGCCAAGGCAGCGAGGGTCCCTGGGACTGTCTGGGGAAGGGGATGGGGGAGGCGGGTGCTCCCGACTCTGGTCTTGGCCCCCTCACACCTCTCCGCTTTGCAGCCTTTGATTCAGCAAAATCAGGGATGCAAACTTCTTAGGAGTACTTAGTTTCCATGGCAACCGAAGCTGACCTCAACATTATTGTTCTCAAGAGGCACTGACTTTACTATATGTTCATTCACTGAATTAATGGACTCCCGGCTCTTTTATCAGCAACCCCTGAACAAAGGAAAGAGAGACGAGTCGTCAAAGGGCTTTCAGCCACTGCCCAGCCTTTTGTCCGCGGCTTACTGCGTCCGAGCAAGTCTATTCAGCCCGAGATTATCAAAATCAACTCGGAGCTGTCCCCGCGGCAGCTAAACACACTTTGATTTCATAAAGACATAACCGATCCCACATGCAAATTATTAATTGTGATTGCGGGGCTCTGAGGGCTTGGGTCTCTGGCGAGCTTTTTGGGGAGGTAATAAAGCGCATTCGCAGGTACAATGCGGTGGAGTCACAGGGCGCCAGTGGCTGCCGGGTGCTGCTGGCCGGGAGGGGAAGTGGGGAAAGGAAAGGATTGCTGAGTCTGCCCTCGCCGGCACAGACAAGGCGGGACGGCCATGGAGAACCTTCCGGTATCCCCCTGAGAACAGCCGGACCCAGCGCGTGCACACCGGTGCTTTGAGCTGGGGCTTCTGCGTGTGTGGACCAGCACCCCCCTCCCTCGGCTTTTTGTTCCAGGCGCCTCTCTTTCCTCCCCACCACCTGGAAGACACCTCTGCTTCCCCCAGAGCGATGCCAGAGACAGCAGAACGCCACACCGAACACGCGTACCTGGCCGCGCGCTCCCATAGCCCGGCAAGGCCAGGACCCAGACCCGCCAACCGCCAGCGTCCCAGCTGGGTGGCACCGCACTTAGAGCTTAGACCTCGGCGCGTGTGGGCTTCTCAAGTGACTGCTGCACCACAGGCCCTTGGCAGTCATCTGTCCTTCCCGCTCCCGCCTTCCTGAGGCTTGAAGGGTTGTCTTTCCGGACTCCGCGGCCAGCCTTCCCTAGTCCCCAGGTTCCCCAAGGAGGGATCCCGGCCACCAGAGCCATTTCCCCGGGGCCAGGCTATGGAACATGTCCGCACGCAGCAGCCCGGTGGCGCAGACCACGGTCCTAACAACCAAATAATCATTTCACAAATTATAATAATTATCAATCCATCACCCTGTGTGGACAGTGCCAGGCTGGGCTATCAGATGGCGTTTATGACCTGTAGCGTTTTGCACGTAATGTCGGGGAGAGATTGATGGGGCCATCGCGCCCCGTCTTCCAGCCCTGGGACTTCATTAGCTTCCTTCAGTTTCCAGTCTCTGCGGCCCTGGCCCTCCCACCCCCACCCCGGAACAGCTCAGAGCGCTGGCTAGGTGGCTGCAATGAGATCCTCATCGGGGTTTCTCAGGAGGCACCTTTCTCCGGTTGCGGCCCTACGGATGCAGATTCCTGAGTTCTGAGGGGGCGGGGGGGGGGGGGGCGGACCGAGAAGGGGAGGAGAAGAAGAAATAAAAATAAAAGAAGGAAAAGGTCACTTCCTTTTGTTTGCCTTCCCCCCCAGTTGTACGGTATTAACACGTCCTTCCTTTTCAAGATGGTCAAAGAAAACAAGATAAAGGGGGACAAAGAGAAGGCTGCCGGAGCTTGTGTGTCCCCTTTTCATATCACCAGAGAGATTAAATCAAAATTCTTTCAGCTGATACCATCTCCCCGGGTGGACTGCACTCTTGTTAACGGATAAATTCAAGCCCTCCAGAAAGTCAAAGAATAAATTTAAGCCTTTTGCCAAATGTCTATCCTATTGGATTTTGATAAGACGGCCATTGAGCCTTAATAATGTCTTCCATCCATTTTCAGCGGGCCCTTAACACGGCTCTTTATTCGTCCCCAAAGCCTCTTCGCTGGGCCTTTTTATTACAGGCTCCGGCGGGCTCTCCAGGGAGCCGGGCGACCCGAGTGATGGATGGACAACTCGCTAGATTATCTCCCGCAGATGTTTGCTCTGCTGGAGCCCCGGGCTTTCCCTCTAAGTAAACAGAGACTAAATAGAGTCCGCCGGAGGGAGCAGTCCCAGAGACCCGGCACCGAGGCTGGGAGAGGCGACGCGGCCGGACCCGCAGGCTTCAGCCAAAGTGACTTTGCGGGGAGTTCCCGCCGCGCGCCCAGGGCGCACGCCGGGCGGGCGCGCGGGAGGCGGCGAGCTCGGGTCCCGGTCTCATCTCACCAAACCTCCGGGCTGCGCTGCGCTCGCGGGGCCGTGAAGCAACGCGGGCGCACGGGATGGCGGGGGCCGCGGGGGACACAGGGTGCGGCGGCCCCAGGGCGGGCGGGCGAGGCGGGGACAGGGGTGCGGGCCGAGCCCGGCGCAGCTCACTGGCTGTGGGCGCTGTCACTCGGACGGGAGCCCCGCCCCGGTCCCCAGGCCCCGCCGCGCTCCAGCTCCCGGATTCGAATCCCACCTCCCCTCGGGTCCTGTCCGCCTGCAGCGGAGGGATTCCACGCACCGCCTGCAGCAACCCGCGTCTCTAAGGCTTAGAACGTATAGCCACGACTTCCCACCAAACACCACTCTCTCTGCATCTGTCGTCAGGCCACTGATTGCATGAATTACCGTTTGTTACACTTCGCTGACCACACACAGAACCGGAAGAGTCGTCATCCTGGAGATGGAATGACTGAAGCTCAGAGACGTCAACCGACCCTACCCAAGGGCCCTCGGCGATCCGCAGGCTATTTCTAAAGCTCCCAGGCGGGTCGGGGAGCACGGGCCCTGTTCAGCCAGACACACACCACAGAACTGATAGATGGGGGTCCACCTCTTGTTACCGAAATTCCCTAAATGTGCCTTCAAACAGCCCATGAGACGTGGGGTTATATTCTGTAATGTGTGTGTGTGTTAACCACATCCGTTTGCACAGTGGGACCTTCTTTTTGGAACAAAGGTCGAAGGGACGCTGCATTTACTCATTTTTCAGCCTTGGTGCGCGAACCCACTTGGCTTTGTAACTCCCATCTCCCCACCCGCCTCGCTCCCTCCCAGGCCGTCTGGGCACGGAACCGTAGCCGGATGGTCCGGATCTAAGCACCAAGGTTAGGTTTTGATCATCCCACCAGTGTGACCCTGGGCTCCCATCCCGTCACGCTTGAATGGCCCCCAAGCTGATAATGTCTAAGTTCAGTGCGGGGCCGGAAAAGTCCCAGAATTCAATGGATGGCCGAGCTCTGTGTAGCAGCTTCTCAGAGCGTGGGGGGGGGGGGGGTAGGCAGAGCCCCCTCCAGGCAGCACCCCCCCACCCAAACAGAGGCCTGCAGATGGCAGAAGGCAGAGGTGCCCAGCTGGGAGTCAGGGGCCTGTTTCAAAGCCGACAGCCACCAAGGCTCCCCCGGCTCCGGTGCCCGAGCCCCTGACTGTCGGATCTGTTCCGATTCTGTCCCAGGAACTCAGCCCATCCGACGGGCCTCACAAGGGCCTGGGCCTGACGGATGCCCACGCCAGGCAGTGTGAGTGGGCCCCACCCACCCCCTGGGCGTCTCTCAAGGAAGACCCCTGACCACGTCAGCCAGCGCCTGATGGACCGACTGTTTAGAAAAGAAGAAAGCAAATCAGGAGCCACCTGCGGCCCACAGAGGACGTGCTGACCAGTGTTCCCGCTGTCACGTCCCGTCACGGCTCATCCAGCACTGGCCTCCTCGCCACCCTGACGTTTACACTTAACCTTCTTCTTCCTTTAATGTTTTTATTATTTATTTTTGAGACAGAGAGACAGAGTGTGAGCAGGGGAGGGGCAGAGAGAGAGGGAGACCCAGAATCCTAAGCAGCTCCAGACTCTGAGCTGTCCCCACAGAGCGCGATGCGGGGCTCGAACCCACAAACTGGGAGATCATGACCTGAGCTGAAGTCGGACCTTAACGGACGGAGCCCCCAGGCGCCCTTGCACTTGACCTTCTGGCCTCGCGCCTTGATCCTTGCACCGCTGCCGTCAACGGTCTGCCTGTCTTGCCAGGAAGGTATCAGCCCTAAGCTGCCCGTTCACAGTGAGGAAGGTGAAGGTTTCGTATTCTCCTCAGACCACAGACCCCTTTCCATGGAAGAGAAAAGTCTTCAATTCTTTGAAATACGGGAGAGCCGTGAGTCTCCCACTCCCTTACGTCCTCCAGGGAAATATGAGTTTGTTCCCAGAGGCTGGAAGAGGCAAGGGCGGCTGTGGGGATCGACGCTGTGTTTTAAGGAAGAAAGGCCTCCGGCCGCCCTGGGCAATGGAGCTGGACAGGACGCCTGTCCCCGTGTCGTGGTTTATGGAGAAGAATGTGCTAAAAGATCACCTCTGCCGGAGCTCCTTCCGGAGGTCACTGCAGGGTCAGAAAATGCCTCCTTTTGCAGTGTTTTCTCCCAGATCAGCATCTCTGGGGCTGAGCCAGGCGAGAAGGGCCAGGTCCCCCGTCCCTTGCAGACCACACTGCCCAGACCCTCCAGTCAGGAGCGGGGAACGCTTGCAATGTTGGCCGGTGCCTTTCCCTGCTCAGGGACTTGAACACCCAGTGCGCGCCCCAGCCTCCCCCGGGAGGGGCCGACCGTGCCCCGTGAGCACAGGACACAAGTGTCCGGACACTGGCTTACACGCCTCCCTGCCTCGCTGGGCGGTGCTCGGAGGAGAGCGAGGATGGAGAGCGCGGTTGCAATTCTCCTGGAGAATCCCAAGGAGGGGGTCGGCCGCCATGGGTGCATGTGGGTGTGTGTCCTGTGTTTGGGCGGGTGCGAGGGTGACCCGCGCCGGGTGGGAGCCGGGCCCCACCTGGTGAATGGCCTCTGGGTTTGGGGGATAATTTCTGGATCTGATCCCTGCTGCTGGCTGTCCAGCCCGCGGCACGCAGGACGCCCCTCTGGGCGCTGGGCTTATTTTCCGGGCCTCGTTCACCCTGTGGAGGGTGAGAGCTAACGTCTGTCGCCCGGCTAGCGTCCACCACCCGCCAGTAGAGCAGGCAGCTGTGCCCACGCTGACACTTTCTTCCCCCCAAAGGGCTGTTCATTTAGCGCCCAGCCCGAGCGAGCCCTCTTTGGAGGCTGAGCAGAGCAAACCCTTGTTGGATTTTCAGGCAATTGTGCTCCCCCCTACCCCCGCCTCTGTATTCTTTTCACATGAATATCCAGTGAAGATGGTTAAACAAACACAACCCGAGTTTCTCTAGCGCTCCCACGTCTGCGTGGCCCGGGCGCTCCCACGTCTGCGTGGCCCGGGCGCTCCCACGGGTGCAGGCGCTCCCGGCTCCCGGGGGTCAGGACGGTCCTGTGCTCCCCACCTGCTCACACGATGAGAACAAGCCTCCGTCCCAATGCCATTGGCGTCACCGCCCCGCGCAAGCGCTCCACCCCGGACAAGACATAGCTCTCGAGCTGCCGGCTGTGCCGCCGACCTGGCACCATGCAAATTAGCCCGGGGTGGCCCGCAGGCCGCGGCGAGGGAGCCGGCGCGGAACCAGGTCTCCTACCTTCTGGATGCAGACCTCCTGGGATGACACTTCCACTTCCGTATCAGCCAGCATTTGCTGCAAAACAATTGTGAAGGGGGGGGTGTTAGTTTCTGATGGACAAAGCGCCATCTTAGGCTGCGGCGGCTGTGAACCGTGGGGGCCGATCAGCCGCCCCCCGAAGTAACAAGCGAAGGCCTGGTGGCTTCTCCACAATACAGAAGAAAGCGCTCTGTTGAGAAGTCGGGGCCTTCATTCCCAGGGTCTCCCACCGGGACCGTCCCAGACGCGGCCTCCCTGGGAAGGCAGCTGGGTCCCTGTCGGGAGGGAGCCACTCTGTGTGGCTCACCCTGGTCCTTAAAGTGAGCCACATGTTCTTAAAAAACAGGTTGGTGGGAGGCAGGAGGGCATTACAGGAGGCATTACGCTCTCCTGTGTCCTGAGCTCTGCAGCAGAGGGGCCTGTCTGGACGCGCCGGCAAGCAGGACGCAGGCGCTCGCCTGCAGGGGGCTTGCAGTCTATCCTGTGAGGCCACGCCTGGCTGAGTGCCAGGTCTGCCCAGGACCCCGAGGCCACACTCCAAGGGGAGCCGCCAGGGAGGAGGCAAGGGTGGAGGGTGGAGGGCGGCGGGGCCGGCATGACTCGGCGGTGACCGCGGGGCCGTGATTTGACGCCATCTCTCTGCTTCGTCTCTTCTTGCAAATCAGAGGGGGCAGCATTGCTCTTTCCTGCAGACCCTGGGAAGTGCGTGTGGTTTTTGGAGGAAGCTTCTGGAAAGACACCAGGCTCAGGCAGACAGCAGCGGTGCCCAGGTCACGGAAGCACCCTCGGGTGCCCGTCCATGACCAGCTCCCCCGGCGGCGCCAGGACCCCCCGCGCTTCCCCCTGCCCAGGGACACGGGCTCGGGGTGGGGAGGAGATCGAGGGCCTGCTGCTCTGGGTCTTTCTTCCGCCCGACAGTTCTGACTCGGAGCTTTTCTTGGCTCGGCTTGGGAGAGCCACAGCGTCTGGCCTGCCTGGCGTGTCCTCTTAAAAACCACCGAGCTGCTCTCCGGAGGGACAGCATTTCAGGGACGGGTCCCAGAGTGCTTTCTAAGCTAAGCAAACTGACAAATGAGCTGTATAAATGGGATCTTCCCTTCTGGATCACAAACCCGGGGTGTAACCCGGGGTGTAGACGTGAGTGTACATTGTAACATTGTTTCCATAAGAGCAGAAACCCAGATTGAAACTAGTATTTGAAGACCAACAGGTGAAATGGTGTCAAACCCACGGGTTTTATTTACCCTCCCGCTAAAAGCACACGAGCGCCCTTCCAGATCACAAGCCCGGAGCCCGGAGCCCCGGCCGGTGCCCACGCAGGCCGACGAGCACCCAGGGCGCCAGCATCCGAACCCCTGGCACCTCTGCACGCTCAGCTGTAATAACAATAAGTCATCTTTTTTATGGTTGAGAATTCTAACCAGTTGGGGATTTAATGTTTCTTTTAATAGATTCTGAAATTGTGGTTTGGAAGGCGGAGGAGAGGCCGAGCGAGCAGGTAGGCAGCACGGAGCCCCGGCGGCACCCGCAAGGGGCCGGGTCACCGGGGGCTCACCTGCGAGTGCCCGGGCCGGACGGGCTGGGGGGGACGTCAAGCTCGGGTGCTGGGGGCCGAGTCTGGCCAGCAGGGGGGCCTGTGTTTCTACCGCCTCATGTGCCTGCTTGTCACCCGAATCCACGGCCAGGAAGCCTGGTCGGAGGCTTGGTCAAGAGGGAGCGAGGAAGAGAGCAGGGCAGCCCGCCTGGCTGTCAGCATGGCTGTGGCTCCCAGGGAGGGGCCGCGCTCACGGGGCCCACCCCCCGCTGGGGGCTGCCCAGGCCTGCACCCCAGACACGCCCGCCCAGCAGGAGGGAGACCTGTGTCACGCAGAACTGGGGTTCCACGCTTGGGTCACGGGGTCCCTCGAACCAGGTGGACCTGCCCCTTATGGCCAGGCGCAGCTGAGTCTAGGAGGAGAAAGCTCCATTGTGACTTGTTGAGGAGTGCAGTGCCCGGGGCGGGGCACGGCCGTGGGAGGCAGCGGGGGAGGGGAGCACCCCGTGGGGCGGTTTCCCTTCCTGAGGAGCCCTGGGCCCTGAGTCGGGCCCTTTGGGACCCAGGCAGACACCACGCGGCTGTTCTGCAAAGCCCAGGAGAGCGTGCTCCCGGCAACAAGGCTTCCAGGTGACCCTTTCCGCAGACCCGCTCACGGGCTGGCCCTCTCCAGCTTGACTGCCTCCCCGCACGGGCCTGGCCACTCGTGTCTCTAACTGTGATGCTAGTGTGGACGCCAGGCACGCAGAGAAGCCGCCCCCGGCCCAGGACGGGGTCTGGGAGGGCTGGGACCTGCCCGCGGCACCCGAGGCTGTGCCGAAGGCAAAGTCCTGAGCACCCTGTTGGGCGGCTCCAGCCCAAGCCATGGGCTCCGGGCTGGGGACAGGGACGCCCCCACCCGTGGTGGCGCTGGGGCCTCCTCGCGTGTGGGAGAGAGCTGGGGTGCCTCCCAGCAGAGCCTCCACCAGCAGAAAACCTGTCTGTGGGGTGTGTTTCGAGTTAAAGCCTGGGCCCTCCTGGTGATTCCCGAGGTGCCGTTGTGGTGTTTCCGGAGGGCAGTGACGCCTGCCTGCGCCCCAGGAACAAGAGGCGCCCACCCCGGGTCAGCGCCACGCACAGCTCACCACCCCCACCCCCAACCGGCACCCAGCCTGGGCGCAGAGGCACTGGGTGGGGGCTGGGAGCGGAATTTGCTGCCCTCTGGTTGGAGGTCAGCAGGGGGGCCCCAGCCTCTCCCTGGAGGCAAGCCCGGTGCCCAGCTCCCTTCCTCCCAGCGGGCACGCCGCGGGGAGCTTTGGAGATGGCAAGGAGGCCCCTGGCTCACCCCCGGGCAGGGCGTCCAGGGGGCCTGTCAGCCCAACAGCCCCACGCGGCAGCCCCCGTCTCCGGCACGCCCCGTCCTGGGCCCCAGGGTGGGAGCCGCCCTCCCTCTGCCCGCCGACCCCTCCGTTGGCCTGTACGCCATCCCTGCCGCGTTTCCTTTCCATTTCTGGTGGCCCCGACCTTCTTTCTCCCTGCCCCGCAGCGGGGAGTGTGCGGGGGCGGGAGGCCCAACCCGCACAGAGAGGAGCGGGGCTCCGGCGGCACAGGAGGCCTGGCACCAGCTGTCCCTGAAGGTGGCACCGGCCGCGTGCCTACGGGAGCCTGGGGTGGCCCATCCGGCAGCCTGGGTCCCCGACCGGCATCTGGGGGCCCTGCGTGGGCCCCTCCTGACTCAACTAGGAACCGCCAGTCCAGCAGCAGCAGGAGACATCTTCCAGGGAGAGCCCGGCCAGCCCCGCGAGGGGGCCGGGAGGACGGAGCCCGCCCTGTGCAGCCCTGCGCCCCCACGTCCCTGACCCCGCCCCCTGCATCCCCACCCACCCACGTCCCACAAGCCTCGGGCGGAGGGTGGCCAGACCCACTGCTTTTTGTCCGAGGCTCAGACTGGCCGGGTGGGACGGGGCCCCCCGGGAATCTCCACTCTGCGAGGAGTCCCTCAAGGCCTGGGCACCGGCTCAGAGAAGACTCCGCCCACCCAGGAGTCTGTGGCTGCACCGGGACACAGAGAGGCCGTTCGCACCACACTGGCTGCCGCGTCGCTGTGCAGGACACACAGAGCAAGGGAGACGGGACGGGACAGAGCGCACCCCTGGGGGGGAGGGGTCAGGCGGGCCCAGGGTCCCCTCACCCTCCTCTGAGCCTGGTCCTCGGCCCCCTTTGGGCCGCAGGGCGGCGGCCCGGAAGCCCAGCAGTGGGACCGCAGGTGACCAGGAGAAGCCCCCACCCCAGTCTCCAGATGCAGAGAGAGGAGTGTCCCCCCGGAGCGGGGGAGGCCTGACCAGCCGCCTGTCCCGCCTGCCCGCCCCGTGCCCGCCCCGTGTAACAGCCCGCCTGCCAGGGCTAGTCACCCAGCGCTGACCTCGGGTGGAAACCCACCGGACGCGCCCCTTCTGGAGCCTCTCGGCCCCGGCCTTCCCCGCCAAGGCTGCCGGTGCTGAGAACCCTCTTTATTTTGCTAGCTGAGCCTCAGCACGCGCGCCGCTGGCCGGCCGGCGGCTCTCGGCACCCCTCCACACCCCCTCCACACCCCCTCCACACCCCGGCAGCGGTATTAGGTGTGTTTTGATTAAGCATTTTAGCCAAAAAAGGGAGGTCTGACCCCCGGCATTTCACTTCTTTGGCAGGTATCGGTGCCAGGATTGAGCTAAGTGGGGTTGGTCAAAACATCTTTTTTGACTCTTAAAATAAATACCCTCTGTTCTGCAGAGAGCCGGCCCCGGAGCAGGCACACACGCACACAGACATCTCGTTCGTTCGCAGCTCCAGGGCCCTGGCGCATCCCGGGGGGCGGCTGAGCTTGGGGGCCGGTGTCACAAATGTGTCCCAGAAGGCGTCTTTCCCTTCAAAAAACTCCATTACTAAAGCATCTGAAAACATACCCACCGGAGGGAACCCCAGACGGGGCCCTGACCCCATGGCCCCAAAACCAGGAAAACAGACGCAGCCCAGCCGTGCCCGGGGCCCGAGCGGACCGCGTGTGCTTTCATTTACTGACCCCCCACCCTTGGCCTTCGAGCCAGACTCTCCAACCTGTTCCTGTCTTGTCGGCTGCGGACACTCTCCTCCCCAGGACGTGCGGCCAGGCCCAGAGGTGGCCGGAAGCGGGATCCTGGGCCCCTCCCCTTAAAGGTGCTGCCCAGGGTGAGGGGCCAGGGCGGTCTGTGCGGTCACAGCCCAGGGTGGTCCCTGGAGGCCGGGCCGGGGCCCAGGTGGTGGGTGGGGACCCTCCCCATGCTGTCCCCACACCGAGCCTCCTCCTGATGACCTCCAGCCGACCAGGGGCTCAGGGTCCCGCTGGAGACACTGACCAGGCAGATGCCCGTGACCCCTTCGAGGTCAGCCGCCGTGGACCCTGTGCGGCCTGCCCTCCTAGGAGGGTGTCTGTGCAGCCAAACAGCGCCGGAAACGGGCTGAGAGGCGACGTCAGAACTGACGGATTTCAGATGCACCCCATCCTCCT